ATTGAACAGGCTTCCTTCTCAGCCAAGGGACCTCAGAGAAATCGTAAAACTGAGTTCCCAGCCTTGAGGGATGGTGCCTCATTATACCTCCCCTATGGGCAGCCATCAGGCTTTTTCCTTGAGGGCTAAACTGAAACCAGTCTTAAGGTCTATCCCTATTTGTGGTTTGGCACAACTAACCAGTATCTTTCTCTGATAAGAAACCACAACTGTGGAGTGGTTTTCTTCTTTTTTATTTCTATTTTGTATTTTTTAACCCTTAATTCAGAATGCATATGGAGTGGTTTTAACCAGTCCATGGAACATGCACAGAGAGGGTTTCATATCTTCTGGCTTCACCTTTGGACATCAGAGGGCCACTATTTTCTGAACATGGACCCCATAAAGAGGCATAAAGCTGATTACGCATGCACATGTTTCTCCTTTATAAATATTCATGACTTCTCCTATAGCTTATTAAATGAATATTTGGCATCCCACTCAGTATAATTCCTGTTCCCATTGTCCCTCCCTCCAAGCACCTGTTTCTGGCTTCTGGCTGATGTTTCAGACCGTCAGAATATTAGGCTGAGGCAGGAGGATCATGTGAACCCAAGAAGTTGAGGTAACAGCTATGATGATGCCACTGCACTCCAGCCTGGGCAATAGAGCAAGAACCTGTCTCTAAGAACAAAACAAAAATAATTGTTATAAACTTTTAAATTCAGTATCCCAAGAGAAACCTGGCAACTACTTTTCCTTCTTTTTAGAATTTATAGAATATGTAATCTATATAAATCTATAGAATAATTTTATAATTCTAAATTCATTTAAAATTTTAGAACTACAAGGAGCAGAAAGACTTTTGTTTATTCCAGTCTGTAATATTACAAAGAAGGAAACAAAAGCCACAGTAAAAGTCTCATCCAGTCTCATACCTAGTTAGTGACTGAGCTGGGACTATGTAGGTCTCCTGACTTCTGGTCATGGCTTCTTCTATTGCACTTAATTGGAAATCCAGGAAATGCATATGCCATTGGTAAGAAATACCAGAGGCTCAAACAAAACCAGCATAGGTAACTAAACCAATTGGTTTATTTCAGAAGGGAAAAAAAAAAAAGTTTTCAGAAAATGACAGAGGAGTACAAGACAAAGAGAACAGGGATAAGTATTAAGTGCAAAAATCACACAAGTCTCCAGAGATTACTACAGCACCTCGGAAGTGACCAAAGGATTAATGAAAGGTCTTCTAATTATGGGACCAAATGTTGGCTGATTCTGGAATCACAAAACCAGTTAAGCTCAGTAAACTACATTAATTGTAATTTTTGTCTTTTGACAGTGAAAAAAGAACTTTTATCTGAGGCATGCACGTCATTTTAATTATCAAGCCAAGAGAGACACTGAAAGGTGACTGCAATCATATCCCACTCCCCTCTTTTTTAAAAAATTATTATTTTTTTTATTTTGGCATATTATGGGGGTACAGATTTTAAGGTTTCAATAAATGCCCTTTCTCCCTCCCCCCACAAGTCTGAGTTTCCAGCATGACCATCCCCCAGACGGTGCACATCTCACTCATTATGTATGTATATACCCGCCCCCTGCCCAATACCCTATTACTGTAGTACCTATATGTCCACTATGTATTCCATCTCTTGTCCAGCTATGTATTCATCTCTTGAAATTGCTTGGTATTGACACATATAGCTATAAATTAACCTAATAATGCCATACTGGACACTATAACTTTCGTGATGTGGAACTTTAGTATGATTATGTCCATTTTGGTGTGGTCTGTTGGGGTCAGGAGCGCAGTCCAACCGATAGCCTCCTACAAATTTTATTTAATAACACTTTCGTTTTGAAGATGGGCAGTTTGAAATAGAAAAATTGAGGCAGAAAACAGCAATATTACACATGATCCAGTTCCCCAATCCCCTAACTTATATACCCATCAATTCAGACCTAATCTTGTGCAAGACCAAAGGAGGAAGGGGTGGGAGCCTGGAGAGCCGGGACGGATCCAGCTATCCTGGTCCAAAGATCTGAGATGCAGATCCAGGACTCGCGGTGCGCGCAGCCGCCTCCGGGAGCTCTTGGCTCCTCCCGCCTGCAGGCGGCGCTGTGGGAGCCCAGCCGGAGCTGTGTCGCGTGCAGGAAAGGCAACGTTCCCGGATGCCCTGCGTGTTCCCAGGCAACGGCCGCCGCCGAGCGGGATGTCCCGGCGCTCCGGGCTGGCGGCGAGGCTGAAGGGCGCAGGTTCTGTCCACCGAGGACCACGGACTCGTGAAGGGGCCCATTCCGGTGGCTTCACTCGGGGTCTCCCCTCCTCGCTGGGGAATCCTGGGAGGCTCGGGCCACGCAGAATCTGCAGATGTCGGAGCTGGGAGCGGTGAGAACCCAACGCGGGCAGAGGGGAGCGGGCGGTGGGCCAGGAGGACGAAGCCAGCCCGGGCTGCTCCGGCCGAGAGGGCCGGACCTGAGGAGGCGCTGCCCCGGGCTGCCTGGACTGACACTGAAATCTGCAGCCCGCCCCCACGTCTTCCCGAGCTCGCGCCCTGGGTCCTGGAGAAAGGGCCATGAGGGAAACGCAGCCCTAGACCCAGCCCTAGACTCTCAGTTCCTTGCGGCAGGAACTTTGATGTTTCATTTTGTTACCCACCTGTGTGGGGCCTAGTTTCATGTCGTTCAGAGACCCCTCGGAAGTGACCGTAGTTCATTTTCCTGCTACTTAGGCTAAATTGAAGCCATATTTCCCAAGAAACATGACAATTAACTTTTTTTTTTTTTTTTTTTTTGAGACAGTCTCACTCTGTTGCACCGCAGCTAGAGTG